TTTTATTATTATTTACTATACTAGCATTTAACGCATTAATATAGTATACGGCAGGTTTAATTAGTACCGTTTAGGTTTACGAATATGATTAAATGTCGACCGAATTTCCGCCTGTCTCACGCAGTGCTATGGATCGCCGCACTGTCCTTACTGACCTACTTTTTTCTGATAGGTTTGTCAGCTTGCGTCATGTTACTTTAGGTCGTTTCCCTTTGCAATGTTTTGTGTTATAGTTGTTCATGTCCGAGAAGTAGGCGACCACGACGTTTGGGAGGACGTGGTCCAAAAACTGGACACGGCCATGCAAGGCATGTCGGACCTGCGCTCCATGAACGACCAGTTGAACGTACTCCTTCGCCTCCAGGCGTAAGAACATTATTTTGTGACTCATTTCCGTTCACTTCGATTAGAAAACCGGCCAACCATTGTTCATATTAATTTTTCATGACAGTACGGTGAATATTTTTATCACTATTCACGTGATCAGGATTAGATTATGGCGCACATAGACAAATGCCTATGTTAGTACATTTTCAATTTTTTAAATAAATCACTATCCAGAATCCTGTTATAGTCTTCATAGGTACACTTAGTTAACAATGCATAGATTTCTACGTTTACATGATTGGCAAATAGTATGTTATATGCGAGTCTAGGCTTGGGCATAACAAATGATGTCGTATTTTGAAAGTGATTTTATTATGTTCACTGGTTTGCCCCTTGGACTACTGGGAACAAGGGGCCGGGGCAATACACCATGAATTCTGGTTTTGGAGGAGTCATTCATTATTTGACGTACTCTGGCATACAATAATATTTTGATGCATGTGCGGTAGCATATTAGGGGTTTCAGCTCCTGTAACCTTCGTTCGTTAGGAGAGCAAAGTGCCGCTAGCAGAAAAATGATGCGTGACGTATCTGGCACTGCAGGTGTTCAAATGTCACGGAGTCTTGGCCTGCTTAACTCTCCTTCCTGCCTCATAGTCGACTAGGAGCAAAGGAGTACGTAGCAGCATGCTCTGAAGTCTCTCTCAAACGAGTTATGCGTTATTTGACATACAGTGAATTACGAGAATATGTTGATACGTAGACTTGTTGCGTCAACTTCGATATATTTATATATGAGTAAATTGCATTTGTGTAGCCTTAATTAGACGTATATATAGTTTTTCCTTCAGAAAAAAACTTATAGTTAGGCGTATCTGTATTTTTGATCGGATGTCAATTACAGTTAATTCATTGATATGGGGATTATATCTGTAAAAATTGGAAACAGCTGAAAAGTAATTACGTCTTAGTTTGCCACGTGGTACTCGTTGTGCTTCACTGTTTTTTGAACCTCACTGATGTAAATTGACCTTAGTATTAACCCGGTTGGCGTAATCACGAACAAATGTCCGCATTTGTCTCTGGCAAGTAAAACGTACTGTATACGTTGATATGCTGTATTCCTTGCACAAAGGTTGATCGTTTGTTCGTATGACGTTATGTGGGTGAAACGTCATATAGCACTTTAGAGAATCTAATACCGGTGCTGAAATCCGCACGTCAGATTTGTCACGGAAGTTACGGATGTTTAACATCGCGAGAGCTTGTCATCCCAGTCGCCTTCATGAAGTTACCTTGCGGCGGTTGTATGAAAACATGCTGGAAGCTTCTTATTCGCTGGTCGGATTTGTTCAGCGGCTCAGCCAGCGTCTGCCAAACGAAACAGAATGGCTGCTTACTGAAAAGCGCTATTTCGTCGAGGTTCAAACGTATGTGTTACATACACATTGCTTTCTAAATCATGTTTTTTGCGTTAGTCATAGTTAGTTTGTCTCTCGTGCAAGTGCTGACAACTGCAATCGTTGCTTACTGTATTTCTGTCTGAGCATCGGAAACGTCGATTTGCATTAGCATATGGTGTATAGTTTGTGACCTTTGTTGCATCTTTAAATTTTCAACGTCTTGCTAGACGGAGGAGAGGCAACAGCCAAGACCAAAGTCTTTTGAGCTAAACACTTCGGAGGAGCTGGCTTCAATTCGCGCGTGACCTAAATTTTATGATTAAATTTTGATTGCCCATCAGAAATTAACCCTTTCCTCTCCAGCGCGAGTAGTTGTGAAGGGAAGCGGAAACTGTCAGTATTGAAATGTCCTTATTCCTTTACTTTTATGATTGGGCTTTTCTGTTTATGAAGTCGTTTGTGCGATGCTAATGTTCGTTTATATGCCATTAGCCAGGAGTGTCTAATTTTTTAAAGCAGAGTATACAGCCATATGGTTAGCATAGCGTATATTCTCTCTCCTTCTCACACTGGAAGCATGAATGGCGAGTGACCTCGATCAGGGTCTAACGATTCTGAGTTCGACGCTCGTTCGAATGAGCAATCCAGGTCTGAAGCAGTTTGTGGTAAATTTTTTGCTCTAGGGAATTCGTAAATAATATAAAGATTGTTCTCGAGCAGAATCTAACACGACACCTCCGGTGTTCTATGCAGACCTCTTACACATTCTACGTACACGCTACAGCTAGATGTAGTCTGAGAAGCGGCTAGCAATTCGTTTGACATACTGATCAGAGGCGTAGCACGGCTTTCTGGTGTACTAATGCCTGAACGTGCGAGATTTATGGCCGTAATGCTGATGTTTGCATCTCACAGTTTCGATGCGCCTTGATTCCCTTGGCAGTTCACTTTGTCAGCGTAACGAGTAGTGCGTTAATAAAAACGGTTACGTAGAAAGAACTGTTTTCATCGGATTGATTCGTGCTTCATGCATTTATTCAGGTTGACCTTAGCGGCGTTCACGTTTCTTAATCCTCTTCACAGAAATGACATTGAGCTTAATGCGGAAACCGTAAGGGTAGTCGTCCGTAACAAATGTGATTTAGTACACTGCTCTAAGAAGCCCGACAGCTTCCAGCGTAATGATCGCTCATGTCATCGTGTAATACGATTGGAATCAATAGCTAGACCTCGGAAATCCTGTTAGAGGTGGAGGTCAAGCGGATGCGAAAACCTGTCAGCTAAAATGGCTAATCGACAATCCAATTTTTCTTCGTGACCTTTAAAACTAATATTTACACAAGATGCAGGTGCTCTTACTACGGACCTACGCCTCTACCTTGTGCTTATTAATGCTACAGTGTAAGATATGGACATAACCATGATCAGTCTTTTTCGATCCACTGCTGCATGAAGGTGTCATCAAGATTTGGCCATAAGCTTTTGCTATTTTTGTGATTCTCTTCAAACTTGATCCAAGTACTTCTTTAGCTCATCCTGCCATCGACCTGTGGGGGGGGGGTGTTCCTATGTGTTGTTTATGCGGCACACAATCAAATCTCTCTGATACGCCGTAGGTCAGTTCTTCTTGTTGCAACGCGTTCTGCCTGTTGTATGGCGGTACTGACATAAAAGACAATTGTTTGTGCTCTTAATCCATTCTGTTGACTTTCAGTCCATACATATTTTCATGCTCTGTAACGTAGTCTGCATTTTTATGAGCAGCTTTCGGAAATTAGATCTGTTTCTCATCCACAGGATAGCGCTTTGAGCACAAGCTGATTAAACACTCCGTTTCAAGCCCAAGGACAGTGTACCTGATATTCTTTTGAAAGTCTTCTATGCCATTTTTATTCTTCTGTTGATTTCACATAGTTGGTTCTCTATGGTAGAGATGATCTGTTCCAGATAAATGTAGTTTAGCACCTCTTCAAGGCTAAGTTCATTCACTTCAGCAAGTAGATGGGTGACCTGTTATTCAAAATCGTTTAGCAGCTCCTGCTTTGAAATTGATGTCATTCTTGGGGCTCTTGGATATTCTTCTTTAGATCCAGACACTCAGAATGTGGTCCACAAACCACAGGTGTTTTAAGTAGGTAACATTCATAGTCAGCTCGTGTTTCTCCCAGTTTAATTTTTTGGAATCCTCCTCTTGGGTTGCTGTGAATGAGTTCGGCGTATCGGACGTCCGTTTCGGTTTTGAACTTGAATGGGCTTTCATTAAGCTTCACAGTAGCAATTACATTCTTATGAATTATGGCAATAAGGTGTCTGTATTTTTTCGCGATTTCTGTTTCCTAAAGTAGTCCTATACATAACGGGTGCGTCGAAAATGATTCTAAAATCAACAAACTCGAAATTGATAGGAAGCTGATATTCGTTGCTCTGATGGTAATCCATCGTGCTAAATCTATTTCTGAATCCTGCTTTCTCCTTTTTCAGTTTTTCTTAAACCCTTTTTTTCATACCTAACCATTGTGAAGATCTTGTGATGATGCACAACAAACTTATCAGTAACGTGAATTGCGGTAGCGAAATTTTTGATCACCAGTTGTGGGTCATAATGGTTTTAATTTATTACTCTGTTATTACGTTTTTTGTTAGAGTAAGTTTTTCAGCAAAATGCTGTCAGACATGGAAAGCCTTTTCGAGAACGACGGAGCTGCAGAATGGCGAGCGAATCGCTTGCGAAGTCTGTCGAAGAAGGTTCAGCAACGTTTACATCGTATTCAGAACCCGAAGAAGTGCAGGTCTTCACCAAAATTGTTGTGTGACTTGAACAAAAGTAAGCCAACGTCATATGTGTTTAATTTGTATTTTTCTTGTTACCACTTTGCGTTATTTTCAGGCTGTGGTTTCGCGTGCCAAATTCATCACGTAATTTACTGCTTGTTGATGGCATACTACAACAACCGTACGTTAATCCTGAACGCCGACCGTTGGAGCTACAGTTCTCGCGGCTGGACGAGTGTTTTTCAGCCGCTAAGTGACACTTGCTCTTCTACCGACTATGATAGGAATGCCGCCGTGTACTGGCTCACCGGAGGTAGGTGCCTCCTAAAGCGAACTGGCCGACTGTTCGTTCATTTCACTGTCATGTGCAACTGGTATTTAGAGCTTCCGGCCAACGACCTTGTTCACATCCCGATCGTAGATGCACTTCCTGACCGACCTACCTATTTTCCTCTCAGCTTTCCTGATGACCTTGCTCCCGAGTAACACGGTCAAGGCATTAGAAGTCGTCGATGATGCTACGTTGATCTTTTTTTAGACTAATCTACTTGCATGGCCTCCCGCCAGCCTGGTGGATAGGCCAACTTGCGTCGTACATTATGCGCTACCAACCTCAGTTCGAACAAGAGTTGGAAAATAGGCGTCAGTCGATTGGCTTCCAAAACCCTATTGTAGGGTATGTCTGTTCATGTTTGGCGAATTTTACTATAAATATGATCATACAGAATTGCTTATAAATTTATATGCGATTTGAAGGATATTTTGGCTTTTAGCCAAGGTAAAGATTGGATAGGTAGAATTAAGGGACATGATTGCACACGAACACTGATAAAGTTAAGTGAAAGAAATACAGGGAGAGGTGAAGTTAAGAGAGCTGTGGGAGGACTCAAAGCATTTACATGCAGTTGTAGTGGATAGATGGAGCTAAGTGGAATTAATAGATAAGCACGACATGAGGAGCAACATTAGGGACTTCGGTGGAGCTGCACGAAGTTCGCTGGTACAGTAACGTATTTTAATGCATTGCAGGGTATGTGTGAAATGGAAAAATGGGCCGTCACAGGCTTAGATAGAGTTATGGGGACTAGTGGAGTTGGCATTAATAAATTTACGATCATGTCTATTACGACGATTCATTAAATTAGTGACATGGGTGGAAGTAGATGGCCTTACGGTGATTCGCATAGTTAAAGAAGGTTGGTGCAGCTACTTTATGGACTGGGTTACGGTAGACTGGTAAAATTAAGAGATAGTAAAAGGTAATGATGTACATGAGGTAACAGGCTTTAAAAGAGTTGCAGGTTATGGTGGACGTCATATAGGTGGGTGGGAATATATGAATTCAGTGTGGAGTTAGGAATGGTGACTGCGGTAATTGGAAGAATGGGTGAGCCACGGTTAGTTATGGAATTACGCAAGACGAGTGCACTTTTGTGGACAGGTAACGATGTTTGGGTCTCGCTTTAAGCTTAAGAATATTTTTGCTCTAGCTGGTTGTGATGTAATTACGGGTATAAGTGGTACGTGTGGTTGATAGGTCGGTGAAGGTAGTAGACGAGGTTTCCGGAGGTCGTAACATTTCTCTTACGGTTACGAAGAAAAATGATGCAGCTGGGGACTGGATGGATTAACGGTTAGTAAGTAGTGTTAAAGAGATTCACGACATTAGATTCATGTATAGAAGGGGAGAAGCTGGGTGCAGTACATAGGATGCCTAAAGTTAAAGGGAAGACATTGCGATTAAGCGGCGTTATTATGGAAGCTCAGTGGAACTGTGGAGTAATGAAGCAGTAATGTAATTGAGTCGATTAGTGATCATGGTGTAGGTCGTAGAAATTAAATGATGTAAATACTGTAATGGGTAGGGATGTAATTCAGGTACGTCGATGTAGCTGTTGGCTTTTAATAAATTTTTGGGAAATGGGTGAAATTAGGAACGTGACTGCAGGTGCAAAGGGTCTTTGGGGTTGCGAGTTTGGTCACTGTTTCAGTGGTGTGCGTAGTTGTGCGAATGTACGGTGTTACAGGGTTTGGTATAGATAAATATTGAATTTATTTGACGTGGGCGGAGTCAGTCAGGTTCCGAAAAATAACAGCCTTTGTGAGTATCGGTGCAGTTGTGGGATGGGATCAGGACAAATTTACACGATATGTGAAGGTACGGAAATTAGTAGTGGATTGTTGTAGTTATGAGAGAATAGTGCAGTAACAAACGAATGAGTAGCTTGTTTGCAAAGTTGAATTTATATCTACAGAGCAAAAGAATTCACTGACCACTAAAAGCAGTCTTATGGAAGGTGTTACTATGTAAGAATTATCTAGCTGTTTTAATGTTGTTGAATACTGGAAGCAAAGTGTCAATCATGGCACGAACCAGTTATTGTACCTGTTTCACATCAAGGACACACCTCTGAACTGCACATTAATTTAAGCATCCCATCAGGAACAAGCGGTTACGCGACGTAGACGAAAGAAACTCAACCGATAAAATGCCCTCCCTTATAATAACACAGAAAGTACTGACCATAGAAACGTGACCCGATGGGCAGGAAAGCTCTTGTCTGATAGAAGCTATTGAACCAGATAATATATAAAGGACGTAAAGGACGAAAAGCACCGGTGGCTAACAAGAAGAAATGGACGAAACCGCGTACTCAGTCGTAGGCTAAAACATTTTCCTGCCAGCGGAGTACCATACAGAATTTATTGATGCGTTTTTATTTTATTACTGTGCATATCGCTTAGCTAGATAAGTCGGATACTCAATGAATGAGCGATGTGTTCCGACGCACGGCATAAGTTAGAGTAGAGGTGAGTTCTTTTTTATGCTCATAAGCTCCGGAGTCACTCGCTCTTGTTTAGTCATGTCGTAGACAGTCTTGTATTTATAGCTGAGACTCTTGCTGCGTCGTCCAGCCTTTCAGACTCTTTCCACGGCTGGAATGTCAACAGGCAATTGATGAACTTCAAGTAGACAGCTCTGAATTAGGCTGTGGA